CAGACTAAAAAATCTGGTAAAAAAAGAGGTATGTATAGGATATACATCAAAGTATGTGTGTACATATACTCTGATGGTATCAAAGAGAGAAAAATAGTGCTCCGGTGAAGAACATTACTCTACTATTCTTTGATACTATTAGAGCGTGTGTGTATATATACTACGATAACTTTAGTGAAAAAGACTGCTAAAAAATTGCTTAATACCATCAGGTTTATTATACTATAATAGTGTCAAGGAGTAAGAGGCAGAAATCTAGTGAAAACTAGCTAAATCGATGATTGATACCATAAAAGTATATATATACTTTCTTGGTAACAGAAAGACACAATGCTTCAGTGAAAACACTACTTGATTACTCCTTGATACGTGCGCACACACACTATATGATGTCATCAAGAAGGGACATGCAATGCTTCAATGAAAAAAATTGATCAATTACTGTTTGATACCATCAGAGCTTTATATATACTCTGATGGTATCAAACAGTAAGAGACAGAGATTTAGTGAAAACTAGCTAAATTAATGTTTTGATAACAACAACGTGTGTGTATTATCTGATGGTATCAAACACGAAGAAGTAGTGTTTCACTGAAAATACTGATAGTGTCATAAAGGATTAATTCAAAATAATGATGTTGATGATATTATGCGCGAAATAAAAAAAGAAAAAAATGAAATAAGGGGGTAAATAGTATGGATCATGATTCTGTTAAAGGTAAATAGTTTTACAATTTGGTCCATTTTGTGTAGTTTCCCCTTTTTAATTTGGGCAACAACCCTTAAGATAACTACACATTCCTGGAAAGTAAAAAGTATCTTTACCAAAATTTACTTTTAAATATAAATAGCTTGAAAAAATATATAGTGCTTTAATAATTTCTTATTTAGGTAAAACTCATTTTTATTAAATGATGGTAAAATTGAAAGAACACCATTAATATCTTTTTAATTATGCAAAACACCATTTATTCGGAACAAATCTTGAAAAAGTATAAACAGAGGCGGACCCACACTATGAAGAGAGGGTGCACGTATATCTGGTAACTTAAAAAAATTTATATGTATATCTATTTTGGAAATTGATAGAATTTACAATATACTTAACAATGCAACTACGATAAGCATAAAAGTGCCCTTCTGCTACTAGTACAAGCTAGAAATACCATCCCTTAGATCAGTGTTCGAATCCAACCAAAGACCTTTTTTTATTGTTTTTATTTTAAGTTTAGCTTAAAACTCATATTTGAGCTTTGTTTATATTGGTACACCCAAAGTCGACTTATTTAGAAATAATGGAAATATTATCGTTGTACACCTTCGAGATATACGGTAGTTTTTTGTATTGTATATCGTTCAATTATACAAAACATAAATGGTATATTTTGTAGGTATACAAATTATACTTGCTATATTTTTTCTCTAAATAAATTTCGAATTAATATTTTTCAAAATAGATATTTGACATAATCTATTTTGTCCGCTTGAGCATAATGTGTGCAAATATCTCAAACTTACTGAGGATGGATGTTGTTCTAAGTTTAGAACTTAATTATGACTCGTTATTATTATTCAGACGATAAAAACTTTTTTTAGAGGATCTAAGTCACGATTTATTTAACGAGATGGAGTTGCTATAATGGTAAACACCTCTCACTTCAATCGAAAATTGTGAGTTTGAGTCACCAAGTACACAAAAGGGGTGGGAACTCCTATGAAGGCTAAAAAAAAAGTCACGATTTATTTATTGATTTTACATGTTTTTAACCGGTCAAAATTTGATCCAATACCATTCTCTCTCTCTATATATATATTATATTATATTATTTTTTAAATTATTTATTTATTATTATTATCCATTTATTGATTTTATCTATTTTAACTTGTCAAAGATTGCCCTTTATTATTTGCCACCTCAATATTGTTATGGTGCAAGTCAACCAAAGTAGTTTATATTATATGAGATAGAAAAACTAATTTTATTAAATTTTCTAATGGGAATTAGATATATAGTGAAGTTATTCATGACCTCAGGAAAATGAAAGCATGTAGCTTCTGGCCTTTGACAAATTCAATGTATATTATAACATTTGCATTGAATTGAAAATGAGAGTTGTTTGAAGCGATATTGCCATACTATTATCGTCTTAAAGTCGGTCTTTAGATGTATTAGTTAAATGAATGTATTAAAAAAAGATAAAGATGAATTGAAAATCATAAGGTATAAAATTATCTCGAAATATTGATAATTTCTTTGAAATTCATAGGGACTAATTAACAAAAGATATGATAAATGGAAGAAAAATTAGTGGTACAATTAGTAGTTGAAAATATCTACTTTTTACTCATGTCATGTTAATGTATTTACCTTGGGACACTACCATTTCTAGGAGTCTTTTAGTCTTATTAGGATTTTGGTAATGCAAGTGATAAATATATATATATAAAAAAAAGAATTAGTACTTCATTTTCATTTTGTTTTGTATAACTTCTACTTGATATGAATTTAAGTATATAATAAACATGCATGGTAAATGAGAGTTTATGTAGTCACATTCAACTTATTTGGAATTGAGTTATGGTAATTGCAACTAATTTCTTTCTTTTCTAATGGTGCTGCAATAATCAAGTTCATATATTCTATTTTTAAATTCATGTAATTTTTATTTTATCCATGATCTAATATATGTAGCAATATAATTTATTTTAAATTTTTTTATCATTACCTCTCGTGAGAAAAAGATTCTATAGAAAAAAATATACAATACAAATATAACATAAAAACTTCTTCTTCTTTTTCAAGTAATCCAAAATATATTACGGTAGTGATTATTTAATTTCATATTGAGAGACAATATTCATAATCATTATTCAAATATAGATATCTCACTAAAATGTACAAGTATTATTATTTTAGTGCCAATTATTTTCAATTGCGGGGATAGCTCAGTTGGGAGAGCGTCAGACTGAAGATTTGAAGGTCACGTGTTCGATCCACGTTCACCGCATTGTTTTGTTTTTTGGGTTCAAATTATTTTCTTCTTAATTTAACAAAGTTTTATGTGATCATACGAGGAGATTGAAAATAAAATTTGTTATGACAAGAAATTTATATAAATATAACTTTTAATGATTTAAACACAAGGATATTGTCTTACTTTCATTTTATGCAATTATCAAATTTATTATTTATTAGCGTGGTTCAAAAATAAAGAATAAACATATAAAATAGCAAGACAAATAAAAATCCATAGTCTATGTAAAAAAACAATATTGATATTTTATCTATAATGTAATTTTTATTTGAATTAAGAGAAATTTCATGGATAGCATTATTACACCGATGCTGTAATGACTTGTAGCAAATGTGGCACACAAGGACACAATAAAAGAGGATGTCCTACAAGAAACCAAGCTGATTCAAGTCAATCAACTGAACCAGTTTCTCAGGCAAGAAGTACTGGTCCAAGTCAGTCATCTGAACCATCTTCTCATACACAGGTACTTTTATTTGTTACTTTCAAATGTATGTTATATGCAGATGTATATATATTGATATATTAATATACATAGACGATGGAATGGATAAAAATGGTCAATTTACAACGATATATAGTTGTTTAGTGGTGTGATAGGACACTTCAAAAGTTTAAGTGTCTTTATGCAAATATGAGACAACTTTGATGGTGTCTTTATATCTTTTCTCTTTAATTATAACACAAAGTATCTTAGTTTCACAATGTAATGGAATGCAATATATTTATGTCCATTATAATAATGAAACATATTGTATTTACTGCATAAGAATAGTGAAATACACATTATATTTGTGCACATAATAAATATATTAAAGCGTATTTTATGTCTCTACAGCAGAATACATACATTCGTGTACATAATAAGTGTATCCGAGCATATTTAATATTTCTACGCACATATATAATAAGTGTATATGCACGTATATAATATTTCTGTATTTAATAATGGTTATATTGTATTTAAACATATAATAATGGTGAAATACATTGTATTTCATACTTAATAAGTGTATGTGCACGTATATAATATTTCTGTCAAATTGTGTTTACGCTGATAATACGTATATTTGTATTTTAAAAAAAAACCTCTCTATCATTTAAGGTAAAGATGATGTTTACATATATTTTATTTTTTCAAATCTTACTTTACGATATTATACTAAATATATAATTGTGATTGAATACGTATATCAACACATATATGCTACAAAATTCCAAACGTATTATTGGATGGTACATACTTCTTGTAGTGGATTGAATTGAATTTGCAGGTAGGTTTTCACGGGTAAAAAATATTGCAGAAATAGTGTGATTTTGTACGTCGCTTTTCCAGGTTTTATTTTCTTTTTTTTTTTAAAAAAAAGCGATGGTGTGATTTTATCTGCCGCTTTTTTAAATTTTCCAAAAAAATAAATTTCCAGAAAAGTAGCAGACCATGTTGCCTTTTGAAAATTAAAATTAAAATAGAGCGACGGAGTCCGTCGCTTTTGCTAAAAAAAAAAATAGTCAAAAAGCCACGCTGTCCTCGGTTTTTGAAAAACATTAAGCTAAAAATCGATGAAAGTAATTGCATCGCTTTTTCATCGATTTTGACCAAAAAAATTACATAATTCATCGTTTTTGATCGTCGTTTTTTAACTTTTAGCAGTGATATCTATTGACATAATGTAAATATTAAATAAAAATAAGTATTATCCATTTTGACCATAACATAAGGGTGTGGGAGGTGGTTATTATTACTTCACAAGTAATAATAATAATAATAATAATAATAAGATTATCCGTTAAACAAGGGGGACAATTAAATAGTGAATCCCATCCTTATCAACACCTAATTATTTTATCTAAAAAAGTTGGTTGATTGCACTTGCAATCTACTACCACTTGTTAATTTATAAATTAATCTTTAATCAAACATTTCATTTTCTTATTAATTCCTTTCACTTTCATCTTATTTTCAGTCTAATCATTGATGTTAGCCAACTTGAACAAAACTTTTGCTTCAAGCAAGCAAGAAATTAATCTTTCTACATACTAATTGATCATTAAATACTAATCAAGCTTTAATTACTCATTGATCCTCTTGTTTTGAGATAATATTTCATATTTTTTTTCCAACATATATGGAAGAAGGATTAGTAGGTCCAAGGATATATAGTTGTTGTAAATGCAGAAATCACATTGCTCTTCATGATGATATTGTCTCCAAATATTTTCAGGTTATGATTTTTTCCTTTCATTTTTATCTCATTTTTTTTAATTTCTTTCTTTTCCAGGAGAACTTTAAATAATAAAAAGAAGAAGGGCACACATTTTTTTTAATGTGATGAAATTAATCTTTAAGATTTTTATAAGTTTGTATTTAAAAAAGATATTCAATATGAATAAATGATTTATTCAGACTCAATAAATTCAAAATTTTGGCTTCGCTTCTATTTCGTGGCGACACCATATATATATATATATATATATTCGAGGGGTATCAATAGATCCTTTCACTAGAAAATTATATTATGTATATTTAAAACAACTTTTTTATGTATATATATTATGTGTTGAATTCTCTTGATTTATTCGCATGTGTACTTTTTTCTAATTTTGATACATCTTAGTAAAATTCTGGTTATGCTACTGATCAGGTTTTTACAACCAGTTGTAGATTTGAAATTATGAGTTTCAGATAGTTCATCATGATTTGAACTTTATGACTTTAATTTCAGAGTTCTACCACAATTCACGATCATTATATCTTTTACTTATTGAGTAATTTGTAATCACATCTATTAAGTTTTACGTAAAAGAATATTGTAATTCAGTTAAACATGTTATATTTGCTTTTGTTTATAACAAAATATGTTGTGAAAAGGCAGGCAAGAACAGGGAGGGCTTATTTGTTTACACATGCCATGAATGTAGATTTAGGGGAAAATGAGGAGAGACAACTAATGAGTGGTTTGCATATTGTGGCTGATGTTAAATGCTCTGATTGTGGGGAAGTTTTGGGATGGAAATATGAAAAAGCATATAATGAAACTCAAAAGTACAAAGAAGGAAAATTTGTTCTTGAAAACTTTAAGATTGTCAAGGAGGGGTTTTATGAACATGTCTCAAGTGGATGACTCAGTCAACGATAACATATTTAATGTAATTTTATAAAATAAAATGTTGAAAAGAATAAAGTGTATATAAATCTTTTTTATTGGATGAACACAATATTAACTATGTATTTTGATGTAATATTATTTATTTATTCAATTCAATAAAGTGTTACATTGAATAGATCAAATTGTCATATATGCATATTCAACGTATATAGTAGTTAATTTAGTGTATATATTCCATCTCATATACAGAAGATTAAATAATTATCCGTTCTAACGAGTTGAAAATTATAGTTTATAACTACAGATGGAATTTTGAACAAACCATCCGAATGATTGTAGCACGAGATAAAATGTTATTTATCTTAATTGTTACAACTTATAACAATAATACATAGTTTTAAGTCTTTGTGCTAGTTATTTTGTATGAATTGAACATGATCGTGTATACATAGATAGATTGTCTAACAAAAATATATTTTCTAAATTGCTAAATGTACTTATATTCTAAATATTTATATAATTATCACGAGTTGTATATATTAATTCTTGTTTTGATTTATTAAAGGTGAGATATTGAGATTAATCAATATGCATGGAAGATCGGATGACATATATATATACACACACACACACAACAAAAACAACTTTTAGAGGTAATAAATATTGACATTAAGAAAAATTGCTAAAATCTTTATCGGCGTTAGTTAAGTGCCATTAGAACCAATATCGCTAAACACTTTAGTGAATATACAAAAAGTGTTGATTACCGCTAATGATCATTTTTGATATGGTGTATAGATACATATTGGTGAAATAATCACTTCTCAATATAGAGATTGATGAATACCCTTTTTATGAGAAATTTACAAGTATTCATGTTTAAACTTGATGAACGGATTTATGAATTCAATGTATGACATAAGTTAAACATTACTCTAAAGAAAATTAATTATAGAGCTAAATTCGTCAAAAATTAATTTATTGATCAATATTTATAGTCTTAACCAGTGAAGGATCCAGGATTTAAAGGTTGTGGGTGCTCACTTCCTTTAACATAAACTTGTTAGCAATCACAAACGGTAAATGTATACTAACTCAAAATCTTTAATAAAAAAAGCAAATGTATACTAACACAAACTCTTTAATAAAATAAGGGAAAATGCACAAGTACCCCCTCAACCTATGCCCGAAATTTCAGAGACACACTTATACTATACTAAGGTCCTATTACCCCCTGAACTTATTTTATAAGTAATTTTCTACTCCTTTTAGGCCTACGTGGCACTAGTTTGAAAGAAAAAGTCAACCAATGTTGGGCCCACAAGATAGTGCCACGTAAGGTGAAAAGGGGTAGAATATTATTAATAAAATAAGTTCAGGGGGGTAATAGGACCTTTGTATAGTATAAGTGTGTCTCTGAGATTTTGGGCATAGATTGAGGGGGTACTTGTGCATTATCCCATAAAATAAAATAAAAAAAACAAAGATCAATATTATCATTATAAAAAAATAACCTCTACTTACAAGTCACAATGACCTACTACTAATTGGTCAAGTCATAATTGTGCTCGACGACTTTTCATATGTTGAAAACGATAAATAATTGCATCATTACTTACATTTGCAAATATCTTACACTCTACATAGCAAACTAAACAACTATTCAAAAATTCATCACCAATACTATTACGGAGTTCATTTTTAATGTACTTCATGGATGAGAAAGCTCATTCCACAGAAGCAGTAGCAACGGGAAGAATGAGAGTCAACCTGCTAAGCAAATAAACAAGTGGCCAAGTTTGATGTAGATCTGACTTGATCAATACTTTAGCAAGATCACTAATTCCCTTCAAGTTGAAGAACCTCTCGTCAGAACCACGAGCATAAACTATAAAGCTATCAAGCTGAAAACTGAGATCCCGAAGCTTGTTACTGTCAAACTCATTCATATAATATTCAGCCAACCTCATTAAAATCTATAATTTTCTATCAATAACCCAAACAACAATCAACAATTAATATATCTATTTGATTTTTCAACACCACAAGCAATAATTAGCAATATATGAGTTAATGAGCACCAAATACGTATGCATTCTAAAATTTAATTTTTGAATCAAGTAATTGGTAAGAAAAATATTTATTTCAAAAAGTATTCAAAAAATATATTCTTAATCTAAAGTCTAAACCAATTTATCAAGTAACAAAAATATTATGTGGAATCTATTTTAAGAATTAAACTTAAGAGTACCATCCATAAGCAATGTAAATCTTAAAACGTAATTTCTCAAACTCTTTTTTTTCATTAACTAACTTTAATCAATCATCAAATTTTATTACCTTACTTTTGTATTCTGATTTTGAAAAGAAAATAGGTTGAAGTTTGTTGTTAGGCAGTTACGCTGACGGTTTTCTCTTTGAAACAAGAAGAAGAAGAAGAATGAATGACTTCGTAGTTTGCTAAGAGAAATAATGCCATAAGCAATGCAAAAGGTTTTAAAGCATAGGAAAAATTAAAAATAAAAAAGAAAGAAAAATTATGCTACCTAAACTAATTAAGAATAAGAAAAGTCAAAACAAGTAAGAATAGGAAAAGTCAAAACAAGTACAAAATTGGGAGTTAAATAAGCCCATAATTAGAAAAAGAAAAAATAAAAATAAAAAAAAAGTCGTAAAATTCGTTGGAATTAATTTTTTTTTTAAAAAGAAGAGTTAAATAAGCCCTTAATTAGAAAAAGGATTTTTAAAAAAAAAAACAGGTGTAAAATTCGCTTGAAATTTTTTTTTAGAAAAAATGCTGCTGGCGGGATTCGACCGCGAAGCCACTTCGACCCCTCGCCAGTGGCTTCGCGCGCGTCTTATTGCAAAGGATTAAACCAGCTCATCCACAACTGCTTTTGTTCTATAGGTGCTCATTTAAATTATAATAACATATGTATCATATTTTCTATATATAGATACAAAAAATTTCGGAAATCAATGGGTTCTCGAGCATCCGAGTCTGGCTTACTGAATCTGCCCCTGGTCTTAACATGAGGAATTACATATATGATTAATAGGAAATTTTAAAATATAAATAAAGAAGTGCAATTACAAATCTCTTTTAATAAAACTAATTTAAGTTATTTTTTCGAATTATATCATAAGAGATTGGTCTCTAATTTGTTCAAACAACTCACAATTCTATTTGAAAAGGAAGAAGGGCATGTTCTTTTTCTTCCAAATTTTGGATTGAGAAAAAACTTCATCATAAATAGGATTCTTCTATAACTTTCTATAGAATATTTGCAAAATTTTAATACTGGTATCGAATTTACTTTAAGATATTTACTTAGTGTTTAAAATACTGACTTTTCAAAATATTGATTTTTTCCAATTTGATTAGCAAAGTGAATTCAACTTTTTTTTTAAAGTGAATTTTGAGTGACCTATTCCACCGAATGAGGCCTTTCTTTTTTAATGAGTTCTTGATAAATTTTATTCTATGAAATTTATTTAATATACAATTTGTACAAAAATAATATATGATTATTTGGTGATACGGTCTTCTCGACGATTATATAATGAGGTTTGAATTTTAATTATACAATGTTTATAGAAATGTTTGATTAGATTGTTATGTTTTGCAATATCAAATTCAACAGTTAATGCAATGTCAAGCTTACTCCTTTGCTCAAAATAATTATACTCTCAAATTTGTTTTGATTTGATTCAAAATAGTGGTAAATATTAGTATCGAAAATAAGCAGGTGTAAATGCGGAAGCTAGCAATGCAAACCTCAAATGATCACGAGTAAGAAGACAACGAGAAATATACCAAAAGACACAAAGATTTAACGTGGTTCGATCAATCGACCTACGTCCACAAAGGAGATGAACAATCCACTATAAATATGAGAGTACAAACTACATATGGAAACAACCTCAACCAAATTCACTCAAAATACATGGGAGGTTCACCAAGTGATAACGTATCAAATTTGTGACCCACAATTTCTCTCCCAAACCAAAAACTCTCAAAGCTGTTAAAGACTATATTGTGAATGCTGATTAAGTTAGAAGGAACATTCCTCTAATTATAGAGTCCTAAACTTTTTCCTACAAGAAAAAGATTAGTCAATCCAAAACATTTTCTAAAAGGAAAACTATTTATGGTAAGAAATTTAGGACAAATAAAACTCAAAACTAAAGAAGATAAAATGATTGAAAAATATTATAATAGATCAACAAAACAATCATAAAAACATTAAATAATGAAATTCAAACTCATCACGTACATATATATTCATACATCCCAAATAAGCAATTGATTGAATTGGAGAATTACTCATACAATATATGAGAAACTTATTATGCCTTTTTATAGAACTGATAACTCTATTAGAAAAGTAGAATCAATCACTAATAATAACGTTATAAAATCAATCATGCATTCGAGAATCACAATATACCACATTTAATCAAAGTCAATAGTAGATCAAGATTAGGCACAAACAAATCCATCACGCACACATATTAAATAAAATTGACTCTAAATTTTAAATTCGTATCGAATCAAAAATTAAAAGTCAAAGAGCAAAGGAATGTGACCTTTTCTTATCACTAACCAAATTCTTCACCTTGACCTTCACTCTTTCAGCCCCACTAAGTTGTTGCACCTTCTTAGCGATCCCAAAAGCTTCATCTTTCTCCATTTTCACCTCTGATGAAACCAAAACAACTTGTGTCCCGCAAAGCTGATCATAAATCCTCTCAAATTCCATCAAAACTTCACCCACAATCCCCAATTTGTTCTTCTCCACCAAAAGCTTCACCACGCCCACCAAGTGTTTGTTGAAATTCCCCTTAGACAAAATCTCCTTAACAACATACCCTTTTTCTTGATTTCCCACAAAAGGGTCTGTCCTAAGAACACGCACCTGATCATGTCTTAACCATCTTGATAACTTCCTCACGTCTTTATCGAGTTTTTCAAGTGAGTTGTTGCAGTTACCTATGTCTATGAGTGCTGCAGCATACCCACTTGAAGCTCTTGTATGTGCTGTTTGATGCTTGGAAAAGGGTTGTTTGGGAGGTGGGGTTTTGGATAGAAATGGGAAATTTGTTGTCTTTTTATGTGTGAAAGAGTTGGTTTTGCTTGAGATTGAAGTTGTTTTTGGGAAATTGAAGTGGGGTGAGGAAGAAGAAGATGATGTTGTTGTCGTATAGGGATTCTTGAAATGGTGGAAATCAGCAGAGTATCTGCGTATGTTTGGAAGTTTAAGGGAAGAAACAGAGGTAGAAAGGGTATCCATTGATTGGGTAAAGGAGTTAAACTTTTGAGAAGAAAAGGGAATGAAGGAAGATGAAGAAATTGTGGTGGGGAATATAGGTGACAAAGAACAAAACAAAGAGAGTTTTTTCAGCCACCTGTTGAACCAAATGATAGAGCTAGCTTATCTTGCTCTGGGAAATATATACTAGTTAATTAGTTATTATGATCATAATTTTAATTAATTAATATTCGTGATTAATATTTATTTTAATAATCAAATGGGATCGGATTTTGAGTTTGTGTAATTCACTTATTTGTATCGTTCGAAATTTGTACAATATAATTTATATAACTATTGTATAATATAATTTGTAAAACTATTTAAAGTTCAGATATTTGTGTTAGTATAAAATTGTTATTTTAAATTTCTATAAAAATAGCTCAATTATACGAATATACACACAAATTATACAAATAAGACAACTTAAATTATAGTTATAGCCCTTAAAAATGCAAATTATAGTTATGAAATATAATTAATTTTATTATAGTTAGTTATTTGCAAAAATTCTCCCGAGTACAAGTAGGGTCTTGAACATTTGACCCGCTCCATGAGCAAATTTTTCAAAGTTCACCAAGTTTTGACTTTGACGTCGACCTCGACCTCAACCTCCAAGGTTTTCCATATAGCAAATGGTAGATCAAAAGTTCAAGATTATCAATTTTCAAGGTTTATTGAGTGTAGTTGTTAGTTCAGGCATGGATATATTGTGCAATGCTAAGTTTTGACTTTGACTTTGAAGGTTTGTCCATATAGCAAACGGGGATCAAAAGTTCAAGATTATCAATTTTCAAGGTTTATTGAGTGTAGTTTGTAGTTCCAAGTATCAAGGCGTGGATATATTGTGCAATGCTAAGTTTTGACTTTGACTTTGACCTTGAAGGTTTGTCCATATAGCAAACGGGGATCAAAAGTTGAAGATTTTCAATTTTCAAGGTTATAGAGTGTAATTTTTAGTGTTAAATATCAGGTGTGGAGATATTGTAGAGTGCTGTGTTTTGTCTTAGACTTGAACCTTGAAGGTTTGTCCATATAGCATATATGATCAAAAGCTCAAGATTATCATTTTTTAAGGTTATCGAGGGTAATTTTAGTGGCAAATATTAGGCGTGAGATACTATAGAGCATTAAGTTTTGACTTTGACTTTGTCCTTGACCTTGACGGTTTGTCCATGTAGCATACGGGGGATCAAAAGTTCAAGATTATCCAAGGCTATTGAGTGTAATTTTTAGTGTCAAATATCAGGTGTGGAGATATTGTAGAGTGCTAAGTTTTGACTTTGACTTTGACTTTAAAGGTTTGTCCATATAGCATACGACGAATCAAAAATCTAAGATTATCTGTCTTCAGGTTATGGAGTTCAATTTCTAGTGTCAAATATCAAGTGAGGAGATAATGTAGAGTGCTAAATTTTGACTTTGACCTTGAAGGTTTGTCCATATAGCAAACGAGGGTCAAAAGTTGAAGATTTTCAATTTTCAAGGTTATAGAGTGTAATTTTTAGTGTTAAATATCAGGTGTGGAGATATTGTAGAGTGCTGTGTTTTGTCTTAGACTTGAACCTTGAAGGTTTGTCCATATAGCATATATGATCAAAAGCTCAAGATTATCATTTTTTAAGGTTATCGAGGGTAATTTTAGTGGCAAATATTTGGCGTGAGATACTATAGAGCATTAAGTTTTGACTTTGACTTTGTCCTTGACCTTGACGGTTTGTCCATGTAGCATACGGGGGATCAAAAGTTCAAGATTATCCAAGGCTATTGAGTGTAATTTTTAGTGTCAAATATCAGGTGTGGAGATATTGTAGAGTGCTAAGTTTTGACTTTGACTTTGACTTTAAAGGTTTGTCCATATAGCATACGACGAATCAAAAATCTAAGATTATCTGTCTTCAGGTTATGGAGTTCAATTTCTAGTGTCAAATATCAAGTGAGGAGATAATGTAGAGTGCTAAATTTTGATTTTGACCTAGAAGGTTTGCCCATATAGCATGGGGATCAAAAGTTCAAGATTATCAATTTTCAAGGTTATTATTGAGTGTAATTTCCAATGCCAAATATCAGGCCGCCTAGAGATATTGTAGAGTGCTAAATTTTAACTTTGACTTTGACGTAGAAGGTTTGTCCATATAGCATATGGTGGATCAAAAGTTCAAGATTATCAATTTCCAGGCTACCAAGTGTATTTGGCTTGCTCGGCACTGATTGGGCGACCTTGCTCGTATTGGTGTTGTGTCGAGCTGACAACTAGTGTAAAATTAACAAATTCATGATGGAAACAGATTGTATTTATATAGCCAATCCCGACTTATTTAAAACAAAAACTTAGTTGTAGCATTATGCCATAAGTAAGAAGCCTATCTAGAGATTTGATGAAAAAGGTAACGAATATGTTAGGAAAGATAAATCCTTCTCACTTGGTGGTAAGGAAAATCAATGAATAAAACAATTATACATTATGATCCTCTCAAAGAACACAATAATTTGTTCAATGACACTATCTCCCTAACATTTGAAAAGTCTTTCTAGATTAAACCTGACCTTTTCCTTTCCTAATTTTTTCGTAGTCTGCTTCAGCATCTTTCAACTGTTCTTTCAGTTTGGTTATTCCACTCTCCATCTCTTCCGCTGAACATCGCGCACGAGAAGGTCGATATGGTGTTAGAAAACGATACTTGAATTCTTTCAGAGCTTCAACACCACAAACCTATCCAAAAAAAAAAAAAGTTAGTAATATGAGTTGTCATTGGTTGGCAAGATTTTATGGCCAGTATACTCTTTGAATGCACCAAAAGGTAAACGGAAATATATATATATATATATACGTGTCTGTGGGTGTTCATGAGAGGAAGGTATCTTCATACCTCTTGTGGTAGCAAAGGCAGCTTAGTAATATTGAAGTCGTCATATAGCGTGTAGAACTGATCCAAGTATTTTTGTTGCATCCGCATTCTAGCCTTCAGCAACTGGGATTCAACAACTGAAAATAGTCACAAGTCAAATAGTTATGAATTCTCTTGCATTGGAACAGGTTATCATAAACAAAATGAGGTTAAGTGAGACTACGGAAATAGATTAAAAGGGTAAAACAATCGACGAAGTTTGTGTACCTTCTACATCATAGAGCACTTGGTTAATTATAATGTTGTGTGTATCGATCTCAAACCTAGTGAGTTCCTGAACAAGTCTTTCAGTCTCATATAGAGAGAGGAATTCCGGAATGCAAACACAAACAAACGTCGTCATGTCCTATAAGAAATGTGGTGTTTATTCATATACAGAACTCAGAACAAGTAAAACTGAGAACATAAAGAAGGTCACTGTTCAGCTACTAGTACGAATCACTCAAAGAACATTCTGGAAAAAAAAAACACAAGTGTAGATAACACATATTGCACTTCATCTTAGTAGATTTTCTCCACAATCTAAATAGAAGGATCACCAGAATATGTATTGTGATTATTTAAGCTTTCATCCATATAAATAGTCTCTTTCTAATTCAAAACATATGTAACTGTTGTCAGCAATCAAGTTCAGACATTAAATTAACTGAATAAATATTCAACTGGATTGAAAAACTATTTTCTACTGAAACTACCAACGCCTCAAATAGTGCATGAGCATTCCTACAAGCTATAGAAAATGCATGACTCTACAAACTCTGGACTAAATTGTCCCTATGTCTCCACCTAGAATTAATGAATACAAAACAAGTTCTTCAGAAAAGTAAATGAGCATTATTAGGAGAACTCTTACGGGATCCTTAAATTGTCTGTTCACTTGTTCAATAATATCTCTCATGGCTTCCAGCTTGCCTAGAATTGCATCCTCTCCAAATTCATCATCAACACCAAACACACGAGTCATCTGCGATTGACAAATACTTTGTATTAATAATAGATATACACAAACACATAATCCACTTCCTACAATCTGGCTTGAATTTTCAGGCTTGCAGATGAAACTAGCAATAATTTTGCACACATTTCTCGTAACCCCCTTATAATCTTGAGCTTTTGATCCTCATATGCTATATGGGATATCGTAGAGTGCTAAGTTCTCTCCTGTTTTTTTTCGGAGGGAAGGGGATGTTACCTGACTTAGAACACCACCAAATTTGCTCTTCAAACTCATTATTTTTGCAAGCCCCTTCTCTAATGTTGATGGGAACTGTAACAACCGGAGAGTATGTCCCGTTGGCGCTGTATCAAACACTATCACAGAGTAATCCATCGTTCTCACCAATCTAAAAAGAAACAAATCAAGTGTGTACTGAAGTCCACGTGATAAAGAAAACACCAGAATGTACATAACCAGAAAACACAAGAGTTCATATTTGCTTCTAGATCTCAACAAATACTAGCATATAAGGACTATCAATGTACCATAACAGGATGAAAATTACCAGTGAAAACTGTTACTAGATGATCAGCTATATATGGTTCAGATGTCCAGGAAAAGGAAAAGCAAGATTCAATTGGAATTAACATAAACCCCACTATCCTGTTTCATTTATAATTAGCACACATGTATTCCGAAGTTGAACAGCCTGGCTCTAAACTTCTAATCTTAGTTTGCCTGATAAGCATGTGACAGCCAGCTTGATCTTTACAGTTTCCAGCATAAATCCCAAACAGTTAATTGCAGTGATCCTCTTCAAGTTGCTTAATATACTTGTATCATAATATCACCAGAATAAAGCCAAAAATCATCCGAATTGCAGTTACTACATCCAATATATATACTTGAAAACTTTTTTTTAACTTCATTTTTGGGGAAGAGAATCCATAAACCCAATTTATGTGTCATGAAAAAATGTGACTTACTTTAGCATCTCAGCAAAACTCATAGCTTCATCAATTCCTGGAACTGCATTCGCCAAATCTGAGAAAAAACCGTCCACTCCTTCTGAACCACCTTCTTCATTCTCTATAGATGGATCAACTTCCTATAGAACAGAACTTCAATTATAAAATCATTACCCCGTAACAGCATATCAGAACAAAATTGACCATAAACTGAAAAAACTAGATAATTTGATAAAGTTAAGCGTAAAATTCTCTTTAAAATCACTGAAATACATAATTCAACACACATTACAGTCGACAACAACGAGTATTACTCAAAATTTAAAAGGATGAAGCTTCAACTCCCCACCTGAGCGAAAAGAAGTTACGTAATAGGGAAAAATCGTCCCCCTATAATGAAATTTTTGTCATTTTTCATAATTTCTCAAGACTTGCAGCAATTAAACAATAACATCAAGGTTGCATTTCGTTTGAAGGAATGTTTCACATGGATAACATTCTCTCTAGAAAATGATCAACCTTCCTATCCATTTTTTTAGTGTTCGGTTGGCTACAAAAGCCAGGTAACAAATGGTTCATGGTACAAGATGAACAATAACTTGAGATAGTAACCTTAATCAATGGAACTAGTTACACAAAAATTAAAGCAATTAACATGTTAAATTACAGGAATATTGTAAATAATCAGTGTATATACGCCAAATACTAAGATTGATTGAATCAGGAAAAAAAAATGAATATGGAAAGCGGGTAGGTTAGGGTACCATGGCGTACAAATTGGTGAATCCATTAACAACGGTAGGAGTTTTGGCGAACCGCTGTTGAAATGCATCGCTTAGATTGTGAGCTGGATCAGTGGATATGATTAGAACAGAAGATCGGACCTGAGAAAGAAGGATCCCTAAAACAGAACTGCACGTCGTTTTTCCAACACCGCCTTTACCGCCTACAAATACCCATTTCAGTGTATCTTGTTCCATTAGGTTACGCACTGTACCTTCTGGTAAATCTGGATTATTCCAAGCCATCAATACTTTTCCACCATTAATCATCCTTCATCTTTTTCGACACTCCATATTTCAACATTTATCTTTTTCTTTTTCTTATATCCCTTTAATATAAATAATTTTAAAACTTTAATAAATTACGATCATAATATTACTAAATATAAAATGTTATAGACGGTAGGATGACTTTAGTCTTTGATAATTATTAAAAGCTACAAATTTATTGGTTGCTAAGGTTTATAATTGTTGTGACTGATCTTAAAGTTTAAACACTCAAAAATCAAAACTACTATTAAAAAGTTTAATTTGATCTTATTTAAGTTATATTTTCTTTAACATAAAAAGTAAATATTCAAATCAAAATTCTCATATCCAAACACAGATGCCTAGCAGATTAAAAGTCATAATTAAATAGTATCTTACTTCTGAATTTTGATCTTATTTTGGGTCTAAAATTGAGTACTTAAAAACACTTCATAACCTTCCAAACACTTCAAACAAATTTATGACTTGCCTTGCATTTTTAAAAAAATAAAGAGTTCTGTTAATCTAAGCATTTGATGTTCAAAATTAAAGTCACATGTAATTGCTTGGGTTATATAGTTCTCTTTTATGTTCAAAATTTCATATAATCCCAACAACTAACTAACTAGTTTTAGCCACAGAGAAATCAGACACAGAAAACAGAATCTATCAGCATTGTGAATTTGTTCTAGCTAGCAATACCAGTACTATTATGAGTAATAAGGCATTGGATCCTTAGCATACAACACGCGGCGTTGAAACCATTGCAAGTTCTTAGCATTCCGAAAAAATGGCCTCTGCAGTAGATCTACAACTGATGGCCTCTTTGATTCTTTGGTAGAAAGACAATCCAACACCAACTCCTCAAACTCTTTCGAAAACTTGTTCATTCTATTACATTTCACTAACTGCATCTTGTCCTTCAAATATCCCATTACTTTCTTTGTTTTCCCTTTCTTTTCTTCTTCATGATACTCCTCAAGCACATCTTCCAACTTATCTGGCAAACTTCTCGACCTCTCTATCTTCCTAATCAAACCCTCCAGTTCTTCGCGATGACTTATTCTTAAATTTCCATACGCTAATTCCAGTGCTGTTATACCAACTAACCAGATATCAGATTTAACACTGTAGTTCTCATCATTATGATCTCGAGATAATGAAACAACTGGATTTCTAATCTCATTATCAGAATCATAAAAGTATAAATGGAATATCTCCGGTGCAGCAGCCCAATCTGCCAAAAATGATAGATCTAGAATCTGTTTAGGAAAATTCACAAACACAAGTAAAATTATTGACTAATAACACAGTTTCAACAACTTAATTTAACTAACAAATTGAAACCTTACCGGAGGTCCACCACGTTTTCTTCCTTTTAGGCCAAGGTATGGTTGATTGCCTGTTTCTGGTCGGCGTTTCAGAACGATAGGCATTTCCAGATCCGATTCGTAAATCGTTGTTGCATATCCCAATTTGATTTCGACATTCAAAACAGATCCCGGTTTGAAATTAACGTAGATACTCCCAGCACTGAAACGCTTATGAACTCGACCGGAAAAATGAAGACCAAATAAACCTAGAAGCGCTTGTTTAAGAGCAATAGCAATACAGTCCTCTGGTAATCCGTTCTGAAATCGAGTTGACAGAATGTAACGGAGCGATCCTTCTGACATATAAGGAAATGCAACACAGTATCCATATCTGTATTTTTGAATACACCATCTCTCGACGTGAATCATGTTCGAATTCCGCACCGATTGTTGCGCCAGCTTGCTTTTATAGACATCACATCCTGGTTCGATGAACTTAACGGTGGCGTATCCTGTAGGAAGGAGACGGCCTTCGATGATGGATTCGGCGGTGTAGTAACTAGCTTTGTAGATGAAATGGGAATCGCAAATTCCGATTACTTTTTCGAGGATGTACTTTGTGCCGGTCAATGTATCAATGTAGATAGTTCCGGGCATAGGACGGTAGGCTAATTTGCCGCCCCTGCCGCCTGTAGCCATTTTTTCCAGTGAGTTATTTTTTTATTGATGGGAAAATTATGAAGAAGAGGGAAGTTTACAGAGTATTTATATGATGAACAGAGTAAAAGAAATTGGAGCCAATAAGCAGTTAGAAATGGCGCGCATAACCTATTTCAGTTATCTGTTTTTTTTTTGTTTTTTTAGTAATTCAACTTTATATTAATTACTAAAGTGTAGAATATCTACGAAGATGAAGTCCAGTTAACTCGATTGGCCTTCCGTGATTAAACAGACGCATAAAACATCAAAGCTATAACGAAATTATCCAACTATATCTGTACAATGAGTTTAAAATAAGTAGCTTTGAATTATAAGGTTCTAATTCGAAGGGTTGTTCTCGTGTTGCATATGTAGACCACTTCCATTGCTATGTCTTCTTGATATCTAGTTTTCTTCTCGAATATCTTTTTGTTTCTTTTTAATCTTACATCCTTACTATCACCATTAATGATCCTTCATCTTTTTGGACATGTTATTAAATCTCCATTAACAAAACTCGTTAATTTAATTAACTAATTTCTTTTGTTTTTGTGTCACGTGTTTTAAGTGAAATTTTTTATATGCCCTTTATTGTTAATATAAATAAATCAATTTCTTTTAAAGGTTTAATGAATTAGAATTATGATCATATCATATTTTACTAATCTACATAAAAATATAAATGTTGCACGTAGGATGACTTTAGTCTTTGATAATTATCAAAAAGGTACAAATTGTTCATAATTTTTGTGACTTGTCTTAAAGTTTAAAGACAAAAAAATCAAAACTAATATTAAAAAGTTTAATTTGGACTTATTTAAGTTGTATTTTCTTTAATGTAAAATGTAAATATTCAAATCAAAATTCTCATATCCAAACACAGATGCCTAACAGAGGGGTGTCAACTTCTTTTCCTTCCTAATAACAATCAACTAATCGGTACTTAAAAGACATAATTAGATGGTATCTTACTTCTGAGTTTTAATCTTATTTTAATTTTTTTTTGGTCTAAAAAGGATACTTAAAAACACTTTTATAACCTTCCAAACACCTCAAACAAAAAACTACTTAAAAATCAAAAGCATATAAAAATAAGTTGATTCAAATAGACATTAAATTGATAACGTGCCTTAGCTTTAACCTCACACAAATTTAAATATACCGTTTTAGTAAGTGAACAATTGCATGGTGACTTGCAATTTTTACTAAATTTATGACTTGCCTTGCATTTTAAAAAAATAAGAGATTTGATACTAACATTCTTCTAATCTAAGCATTTGATGTTCAAAATTAAGTCACACATAATTGCTTGGATTATAAAGTTTTCTTTTATGTTCAAAATTCATATGATCATTTGAAAAAAAGAAAACTAGCTCCCTTGTTCAAATAAACTAATCAATTCCTTCACTCAAAAATTATCATCACATATAATCCCAACAACTAACTAGTTTTAGCCACAGAGAAATCAGACAAACAAAACAGAGTATCAGTAATAAGGCATTGGATCCTTAGCATACAACACGCGACGTTGAAACCATTGCAAGTTCTTAGCATTCCGAAAAAATGGTCTATGCAGTAGACCACCAACTGATGGCCTCTTTGATTCTTTGGTAGAAAGACAATCCAACACCAACTCCTCAAACTCTTTCGAAAACTTGTTCATTCTATTATATTTCACTAACTTCATCTTGTCCTTCAAATATCCCATTACTTTCTTCGTTTTCCCTTTCTTTTCTTCTTCGTGATACTCCTCAAGCACATCTTCCAACTTATTTGGCAATCTTCTCGACCTCTCTATCTTCCTAATCAAACCCTCCAGTTCTTCACGATGACTTATTCTTAAATTTCCATATGCTAATTCCAATGCTGCTATACCAACTAACCAGATATCCGATTTAACACTGTAATTCTCATCAATTTCAGATCGAGATGATGATCTAGCTGGATTTCTATTCTCATTATCAGAATCATAAAAGTTTAAATGGAATATCTCCGGTGCAGCAGCCCAATCTGGCAAAAACGATAGATCTAGAATCTGTTTTCGCAAAATTGATAAACACAAATAAAATTATTGACTAATAACACAATTTCAACAACTTGATTTAACTGAAAAATTGAAACCTTACCGGCGGTCCACCAAGATTTTTTCCTTTTAGGCCAAGGTATGGTTGATTGCCTGTTTCGGGTCCGCGTTTAAGAACAGTAGGAGTTTCCAGAGCCGATTCGTAAATCGTTGTTGCATATCCCAATTTGATTTCGACATTCAAAACAGATCTCGGTTTGAAACTAACGTAGATACTCCCAGCACTGAAACGCTTATGGACTCGACCGGAAAAATGGAGATCAAATAAACCTAGAAGCGCTTCTTTAAGAGCAATAGCAATACAGTCCTCTGGTAATCCGTTCTGAAATCGAGTTGACAGAATGTAACGGAGCGATCCTTCTGACATATAAGGAAATGCAACACAGTATCCATGTCTGAATTTTTGAATACGCCATCTCTCGACGTGAATCATGTTCGAATTCCGCACCAATTGTTCCGCCGCCTTGCTTTTATAGAAATCATATCCTGGTTCGATGAACTTTACGGTGGCGTATCCTGTAGGAAGGAGACGGCCTTCGATGGTGGATTCGGCTGTGTAGTAACTAGCTTTATAGATGAAATGGAAATCGCAAGTTCCGATTACTTTTTCGAGGATGTACTTTGTGCCGGTCAATTTATCGATGAATATATTTCCGGGCCTAGGACGGTAGGCTAATTTGCCGCCGCCGCTGCTGCCGCCTGTAGCCATTTTTTCCAGTGAGTTTTTTTTTTCTTGATGGGAGAATTTATGAAGAAGAGGGAAGTTTACAGAGTATTTATATGATGAACAGAGTAAAAGAAATTGGAGCCAATAAGCAGTTAGAAATGGCGCGCATAACCAATTTCAGTTTTTTTTTATGAGTAATTCTACTTTGTATTAATTATTAAGGTGTAGAATATCTAGGAAGGTGAAGTCCAATTAACACGATTGGCCTTGCGCGATTAAACAAACGCATTAAACATCAAAGCTATAACAAAACTATCCAACTATATCCGTATGATGAGTTTAGAATAAGTAGCTTTGAACTATAAGGTTCTAATTCGAAGGGTTGTTCTTGCATTGCATATGTAGACCACTTCCATTGCAGTAAGTGAACTCTTCTAGAAGCGATTTAAAAATATGAGCAGGTTGCGATCTCCCTTTTGAGTTGTTGCTAATAGTATAGTTCCTCCTTGTGTAACCATTTGAGGATTCGTAACAAGATGATTCTAGAAAAAGATCATTCCTAGAAGATATGGTTTTGGGCTCATTTGTCTGTTGGTCAAGGATACATTTAACATTCATGGTGAGTCCCCATTTGAATAATCTATCTACCGCGAGTAATTTTCCCTGCAGCATCAATCGTAATATGAATTTGCGTTATATATAACTCCATTTCTAAATATTGTGCATTTCCATGGCACTCTAGGATAGTCAACAAGCAGTTTATAGTAAATAGTCCTAATGGTGTACTTCTGTTAGGGGTCTTTGGCATTTTCTTTTTCTTTACTTTTTACTCGTCACTTTTAACATATCAAGAATAATTAATATTTCTCTCCATAATTTACCTTTAATAGTAATTATCTGTTCTCTAAGATCTAAACTTAAAACATTAACAAAATCCTAGAAGATGAAGAAGCTAGAAATGTAATTCCCCTTTTGAGCAATGAAGTGTTTAAAAACATGAACTACTACAGTATGACATTTCTATGTAACAATATGCTCTTTTTCTGATCTTTATCTTCCACGAACCGTTCATCATCCGATATCAGCAATAAGCCATTGGATTCTTTGCATACAACACGCGGCGTTGAAACCATTGCAAGTTCTTAGCATTCCGGAAAAATGGTCTCTGCAATAGATCTCCAACTGATGGCCTCTTTGATTCTTTGGTAGAAAGACAATCCAACACCAACTCCTCAAACTCTTTCGAAAACTTTCTTTTACCTTTCACATACTTCAGTTTGTCGTTAAAATACACCACAGCTTTCTTCATTTTCCCTTTCCCTTCTTCTACGTTTATCTCCTCAAGCACATCTTCCAACTTATCCGGCAATCTCCTCGACCTCTTTATCTTCTTGATCATTGCCTCAAAATCTTCGCGATCGCTTATCCTTAAATTTCCATATGCTAATTCCAATGCTGCTACACCGACTAACCAGATATCGGAATGAACAGTGTGGGCATTATCATCTTGATATAGAGGTGATGGAACTTGACTTAGTTCCTCCTCATATTTCGAATAGAACACCTCCGGTGCAGCAGCCCATTTGTACAACTCGCCTAGTTCTAGATTCTGTTGAAAATTCATAAACACAAGTAAAATTATCGACTAATAACACAATTGATTTCAACACCTTAATTTAACTAACAAATTGTTTATTACCGGGATTCCACCAGGATTTTTCGGTAGAATGGCAACAGTTGAGTCAAGGCCAAGTTCTGTTCCGTGACTAACAAAAAGAGGAGATTCCAACTCTGAATCGTAAATTGTTGCTGCAAATCCCAATTTGATTTCTACATTCGATTTGAAATTAACATAGATATTCCCAGCACTGAAACGCTTATGAACCAGACCCGAAAAATGAAGATCAAACAAACCTAGAAGCGCTTGTTTAAGAGCAATAGCAATACAATCCTCTGGTAATCCGTTGTGAAATTGAGTTGACAGAATGTAACGGAGCGATCCTTCTGACATATACGGCAATGCAACACAAAATCCTTGCCTGAATCTCTGAATAAGCCATTTATCGAAGTTAATAATATTCGAATTACGGATTGATTGTCCAGCCAGCTTGCTCTGACGAATTTCTTGTCCAGGTCGGATGAACTTGACAGTGGCATAACCGGAAGGAAGGAAACTGTCGTGTTCGATCCAATCGGGTGTGTAGTAACAAGCTTTGTAGATCACATCCAAAAGATTGTAGTTGTGTGTAGGCCGCAGTTGGACGCATTTTCCGATTATTTCTAGGAGAACGTACCTAGTGCCGATGTTTTGATCGATGAAGACCTTTCCGAGTCCTGGATCGTAGGTGAATTCGGGTATGGACTTTTTCCGGGGGGCATAATGGCCGCGGTATTCAGCCAAATATTCCAGGCTCGCTGCTATTTTTTGTTGAAGATCCATAATGATTCAGGAAGAAGAAGAAGAGGAGGGAAGTTTACAGAGTATTTATATGATGAAAAGGCCGTTACAAATGGCGCGCATAACTATTTTCCACCTTTTTTCTTTCCTTTTCATCGGAAACTAAGTGTAAAATTATCATAAGGTAGATAAGTATTGTTGAACATTTCATAATAGTATAGTAGACGACTATTGTTAGACAGAGAGAGTACTGAATATGATGAAGAAATTACTAATATTGAGGTTAGTTATGCTTGAATTAATTTTTTTTAATCAACATTTAAAATATTAATAATATCAAAGTTAATATGTATTATTTTATTCAATACGTTCTACCAAATTTCTGATAAGTATGATGAGGGTTGTTCAATTGT